TCAGTAAAAAAAATTAGTTGTCCATTCCTTATTGAACACTCGGCACTCACTGCCGACTTTTCTTTTCTTTGGCCCACTCATTGTTGCAGATGGGTTCAGAGCAGTAGCAGAGTAATAACTGAGAGTAGCCCTCGCTCCGCAAAATCAAGTCAATGTATCACCGCGCCTAATGCGCCACCTGGTGGAACGCCAGGCATTACAGGACAAGGTCAAATGAATGCAGTCATAATTATGAGATGATATGATTTGGGCAATTCCGCACCAGTCTCCGGCGGGCCGGATTAAAGGGCCGTAGTTTGCCCACCCCTGATATAAAGTATGCTACACTGAAGAAGAAAATGTCTTTGTAAACACTCTGCTGCTATTATAACCCTGTGTTTACAGTGTGTTGACTGTGACAAACGATGCGACGGACATACAACTGTCTATAGATTTTATCAGCAAAAACACTGTCAATTCAGCTTCATTATAAAACCATATACCCTAGACAACCTCAGGGAGGAGAAGAATGGAGGTTTAATGGCTGTGTACTGCTGCACTCTTTTTGAACCACCCCACCCCTGAAAAGAAAACCTTTCCAGAAAAAGTTGCTCTCAGTACAGAGACGCTGTGTCTCTTGTGTCTGTCTTCCTATGGGTCATTACAGTTTTGTACTGGTTCAGACATCCTGTCTCCTTTGCCATTATAGTTTCATAGAAATGTCTAATACATTTTGCAGGGAATGCATTTGATCCTTAGATTTTGTTGTGATACATTGTATTTTTTGATTGAAGTGCTACATTTAACTACAGAAACAAACAAGGGCACAGATTGTTTAGTGTGGATGGCAGGCATACAAAGTGCACAGGCTTGGGTTTAACTCTGCCTTGAATTCTGTTCCAGATTTGGATAGCATCTTCTTCTACATTGTTAATATGAAAATGCAGTACATAAAAATTTGCTGAGCGCCACCTACAGACATTATATTGTAACACATGACATGCTGTGGATCAATGCTGGAAAACAACGGTGTCAAAAATGACAATTTATTATGGCAGAGAACAACACTTTGAATGCCTACATCTGGATGTCCTTTGGAGCACAAAACAGAAATGACCCAAATTCACAACCTTAACTTTACTGTGGCTAGGCAACCTCAATCAGGAAAACACTCCTATGTGTGTGAAGGGAGAAACAACCCCTCTTGCAGGCAATGCATAGAGCTAGATAACATACATAAGCACTGAAATGTCACAGAGTACATCAGTGCCCTGGCTGGTTTTCAGTGGCCCACTGAGAGAAACAATCACCCAATTAGCTGTGTAAGTCAAGTTGAGTTTGGGGATACCACCTGTACTGAAAATTTTAGGAAGATTATGCTTAATATTCAGAAAACTGATGTGTATATGAGGACATGCTCATATACTTGTTATTATGGCCTATGGGGACTTGATTGTGTGCTTGTATATCTCTGAGATGCCTGTGTGAGTAGCCTTTTTGATATCTCCACTGTTGTGTATGTGAGTGGCCGACAGATGTAATACACATCGAATACAATCCTAGTTCCCCTGCCTAAGAAACCCAACATAACCAGCCTCAATGACTACCGGCCAGTTGCACTCACTCCAGTGGTGATGAAGTGTTTTGAGAAACTAGTACGGGGACACATTATGTCATTCCTCCCACCAACATCTGACCCACACCAGTTTGCATACAGGGCAAATAGATCCACAGAGGACGCTGTCGCCACAGCCCTCCACGCTGTGCTGTCCCACTTGGAGCATCAGGAGAGCTATGCACAGCTGCTGTTTGTGGATTATAGCTCCGCATTCAACACCATCCTCCCCCACAAACTGGTGGACCTGGGAATTCCATATTCCACCTACATATGGATTAATAGCTTCCTGTCCGGATGCAGCTAGAGGGTGAGAGTGGGCTAACACACATCCACAGCTCTTAGCCTCAGCACAGGTTCACCAGGCTGTGTGCTGAGCCCCCTGCTCTACACCCTGAACACCCACAACTGCACCCCTGCCCACCACAGCAACACCATTGTTGAGTTTGCTGATGACACCACGGTGGTGGGGCTTATCTCTGGGGGGGATGAGACTACCTACAAGGATGAGATTGAGAGGCTGATAGTGTGGTGCAGAGAGAACAATCTGCTCCTTAATACCTCAAAGACTAAAGAGGTCATTGTCGACTTCAGGAGGAAGAGAACCGACATCTTGCCACTGTATATCAGCGGGGACCGTGTGGAGAGGGTGCCGGCCTTCTGCTTTCTGGGAGTCCATATTGAGGAGGATCTGACCTGGGGTGTGAATACCTCTGGACTGCTTAAAAAGGCCCAGTAGAGACTGTACTTCCTATTAGTGCTCAGGAAGAGCAACATCTGCCAGAGACTGCTGGTGTCCTTCTATCGGTGCTCCATTGAGAGCATCCTTACATACTGTATATGTGTATGATATAGCAGCAGCACAGTGGCTCAGAGGAAAATGCTCCAGAGGGTCATTAATACAGCCCAGGATCATTGGCCGCCCTCTCCTTACTCTGGAAGAACTACACAGTTCCCGCTGCCTCAAAATAGCCCAGAACATCATTAAGCACACTTCACACCCAGGACGTTCACTCTTTGAACTGCTGCCATCAGGTAGATGGTTCAGAGCAATCAAATCAAGGACCACTAGATTCAAGAAAGGTTTTTACCCAACAGCAGTTACCACACTCAATGCTGCTAAAATATAATATGCCTGTGTGTGTGAGGGTGGCATGAGAGGTTTGTTGTTTATTTCATTTTTCTACCACCCTCTCCTTACTCTGGAGAGTAAGTTTTTATATGGTCTTATGGTCTTATTTTATGTTTTTTTATGTTATGTTTTTTTTTTTTTCTATTGCTGTACCGACTGGAGGTCACTCTAAAATTTTGTTGTATGTGTTACAATGAAAATAAAGGTTTATCTTATCTTATCTTACAAGTCTTCTGTTTAGTACAACGGAAACCCTGAAGTAACACACTCCTTATCTGTAGCAGCAGCATACAGATAGGAGCCACAGGACTGGTCAGACAAACAACTCCTCCATTACATGCACAGACTTGGAGAAGAGGACATGTAAGCCAGTTGTACTCTGCTCTTTGATGTGGAGACCTGTGATCTCTGAATAGTCCATTTGCAAATGCTTGAATAAACCTAAAATTGTTTCAATTATAACAATATCAAGGGCTGGAAAAAAATGTGATTTTTATTTTAAAAATTCAATATCAATTCATAAATTCTAAAGACTGATCTTTGCATTTGCGTGTTACATCTGCGCTAAATGTTACGTGTAAGGAGAGGTTACTTCTTGTAAGTGGTTCAGTGTGGACAACTTGTAAATTGTCTGCTTTGAGAGAAAGGAGTCATTACAACATGCACAAAAAGATTATTTAATGGAAATGATGGATTCTATGTGAGCCACCTCGATTCAGCTAATTATTTAAATTAGTTGCATAAGATGTGCTTGAGACAGCTTGTTGTTCTCAAATGTGTGCTCTTACGATGGATTCTATTCAGGGGGCTGAATAATTTTGAGACTGCAGAAGTCAAAACATGCACCTGTTACATTAGTTGTGTTAAGCTATTTCAGTTGTTCTTGTTTGATTTGTGAGCTGAACATTTGTAAATTTTGCCAGTACACCTAATTTGCAATGAGGGTTGAATAATTTTGAGTGCAACTGTATAGGCCTCACGAAAAACTCACCACTGCACGATGGGTGGAATGGCATTATGGGCAAACTGAATTTCCTTAGTGGAGGCTTGTTCTCTCTGCGTGCTGTCTAGATCAGTCTGTTCCTGCTCGAAGTTAACCCCATCTAGCAGTTAACAGATAACAGGCTGATGTCCTCTGTGCTCAAACTAATCATCAAAGTTTATCACTGGACTTTGAAGCATCGTCCTCCTTACTGACAGTCCATATGTTGTATGGAATAGCACAAACTTTTAAATTATGCATAATGATGATGTCTTGTTAGTGGTCCAAGATTTTTATTGTTTGTACTCAACAATTTTGCACATATAGACCTAAAAATATGTAGATATGTGTTTGCCAAGAAAAGACCTTTGTCACATTATTATAAGGAGAAAATTTAACTTTTAATGTGACCCTTTATACTGTTTTATATACAAGGAAGCAAGCATTGCTCATTTGTTGATTGAAGAAAATACAGTATGTCTCCAAGATTCTGAGAAGCACTTTATACACCATTGGGATTTATCTGAAATACATGAATCACCATGAATCATCATGACTCAGCTGAAATTAATGAAATTAAGCAAAAATTTGTTTAGTCAAAATTTAATCAAACTGGGAGACCTCTGCCAATATCCAGCCCAAATAATATCCATGTTAAACAGTTTGTGAAAAAAATGCCCGCTACTACTTATTTACTGCTATTTAAGGTTTTGAACAGCTTTGAAATTGCCTTCTAAATCCATGGCATGCTTTTTCCTTGTTTTCTGGCTTACTGCATCTACAATGTTACAACAGTGAATTATTATCATAGATGTGACCTAAAGATCAAAAAATGAGGTATATGTATATTTTAGTTCTATGCAGAAGCAAATTAGTTTATACACATCTTGCAAATTCATGATAGGAAGACTTTTTTTAAGTTAGATAGATAGTTTAAGACTAAGTGTTCTTTCTGACTTTTGACTCCTTACCTGACTCCAAAGGAGAGCTGCACAAGAATTCCTATGTGCCCAGACTGTCTGTTTATGCATAAATGGTAATTAAAATATTGACTTGACTTGTGAAGCACAGTCGCCTGTTCTGGTCTCGGAGGCATCTGGGATGGACCATCACAAAGTGGAAACGTGTACTGTGGCCAGACAAATCAGTATTTTAGGCCTTTTTTGGAAGGAATGGACGCCATGTGCTCCGGACCAAAGACGAAAAGACTGTTACCAGCAATAAGCATTAATGACAAAACCTGTAATTTAACAACCTGTCAGTCAGAATAAAATAAGAAAAGCAATACTTACAGCAGTTGGTGACAGCAAAGCTGTTGGCCACCTCGAGGTTATCTATGTGTGGAGTCAGTCTGAAATCTGACATTCCAAACTGAAACATGCCAACTCTGAATGCACTGTACTCCTGATCTGCACCCCGGGGGAATAAACCACCTGAGACATGCACACAAACAGAAATACAGCATCATGGTCAAACAGACAGGAAACCAAGAACAGAAACAGCACAATTATAATTATACAATATATTATATAAGAAATACCACACAGTTGTCACTAAGAGGCAAAAAATGAAAATGTCTGATTTGTTTTTAGCACTGTAAACTGTACAGTACTGTACTGTAAATACCATTATATCTTACAAGTTATGTCCATGACATCTTTTTATCTTATTGTAATTTCTTTCGCCACTCTGTCCCAGATTCAATAATGGCCAATCTGGGTGTATGTAATTTATTTGAATTTTATTTCTAATGCCCAATAGTTATTGTGTACTCCAACAACCACCGAGTATCATCTGTAAGTGAGGTGGTGGCCCTTGAAAAAAAACACACTTACTCTACAGTTGCAAGAAAAAGTAATGGCACTGGTTGCAATCTCCTGGTTTTCTGCATAAATTGGTCGTAAAATATAATTTTTTCTTCACCAAATTCATAAATATCAACAAACAATATTTCTAAACTGATAAAACACAATCAGTCATGATCTTTCATGTATTTATTGAACACACCAATTAAACATGCAAAGTGATTGTGGAAAAAGTAATTGCAACACCTGGCTTCTGATGTCACTAAATGTCAACTGGAGTCAGGTGTTAGCAAACCTGGAGTCCAGTTAATGAAGTGAGAATGGACATATGGTTTAGAATTACCTTGACTTATAAAAACACTAAAACAGTGTCAGTGTGCAATTCACAATCAGCATCAGCTGATGTGAGCCAGGTCTCGCAAAAATATCCCAAAAGACCTACAATCAAGAGTTGCTGAATTGAATTTAGCTGAAAAGGGTTACAGAGTCATCTCAAAGACTTTAGACTTTCATCGGTCCGCAGTCAGACATATTGTGTATAAATGGAGATGATTTGGTGATGTGGCTACTCTCCATAAAAGTGGGCACCCAACCAGAATCACTCCAAAGGCACATGCATAATGCTTAGTGAGGTAAAAAAAAGAACCCTAGAGTAACAACTAAAGACTTGAAGGATTCATTGGAGTTCGTTAAAATCTCTGTTCATGAGTCAACCATATGCAAAATACTGAACAAGTATGGTATCCATGGTAGGACACCATGGAGGAAGTCACTGCTATCCAAGAACAGCCTTGCAGCACACCTGAAGTTTACCAAACACCACCATGACACTCCACAACACTAATGGGAAAATGTCCTGTGGACACATGAAATAAAAGTAGAATTTTTTGGGAAGAACCTCCAGCACTACATATGGTGTGAGAAGAGAACCGCGTACCAACATGAAAACATGATCCCAAAAGTGAAGTACAGTGGAGGGAGCATCATGATGTTGGGCTGCTTTGCTGCCTCTGGACTTGGACTGCTTGCCATTGTGGAGGGAAAATAAACTCCCAAGTTTATCAGTGGATAATGTCAGGGTGGCTGTCTGCAAGCTGAAACTCAGAACAAGCTGGGCGATACAGCAGGACAATGACCCAAAACATCAAAGTAAATCTACCACAGAATGGCTTTGGAGACGCAAAATCCACCTTTTGGAGTGGCCCAGTCAAAGCCCAGACCTCAGCCTATTAGAGATGCTGTGGAATGACCTCAAGAGAGCCATTCACACCAGACATCCTAAGAATATGGCTGAGATGAAGCAGTTTTGTCAGGAAGAATGGTCCAAAATTCCTCCTGAATGTTGTGCAGGTCTAATCCATATATACAGGAAGCACTTGCATGAGGTTATTGCTGCCAAACAAGGTTCAAACACTTATTAAAATACTGTTGCCACTGCACCATTACTTTTTTGCAACTGTAGCTGTAGTCTTACAGTACAATGTACAAATTGTGACTGAAAAAGATTCAGTACAGCAGCACAGCAATGGATGCCAAGAAATGTGGAGTAACATGCAGTCGGAAAGTAAGAAATGGAGAGGTGAACTATACTGTAATGTATACAGCAGTTTTTTTTTATCACAAATGTGTCATTTGTATGATTGTTAATGACAAATAGATTAGAATATATGAATAATTAATAATTTCTGTTTGGCAACATTCCACAAAGTTTTCTCTAATTATTAGGGAAATGCAACTTGTTACGTAGTCCTGGTATAGTGACATCTAACAACTTTCCAAGTAGGACTGGACTATTTTTAATTGCAAACAGCTGGCAAAACTGTGTAGTTCTTTGGATTCACCTCTAGCATATAAACTTGTGTCTCATGTTAGGTTTCCTCCACTGTGGCCATTGCCTTGCCTGAAATAAATAGCACTAAATTACACCACAAATTTCAGGTATGTGTCAGCTTTTTAGACCGTCATTTAGTTATTAAATTGATCTTAAAATGGGATGTGTCTGCTTCAGTGATCAGATCACACATTCACTTGGTGTAATTAATCAGAGCAGTAGGATACACTGAAGACAAAAGAAAGCCATATGAGTATTTTTAAAGGGGAGGCAAACAGCTCAGTCACAAGCAACACAGAGTGATGTATCTGTTGGTCTGTGCACATCATTTTCCTGTCCCCATACACTGTAATCTCCAGACAGTTGAGGCTGAGCAACTACTTATCCTATTGGTCTGTGAAATTATAACTTTCATTTGTTTTAATTCTTTTGGGAACAAGAAGCACAACTATAGACAGGTGAGCTGCTACAGTAGCTCAAACTCACCAATGTAAAAACATTTCAAATAAGGGGTGGGACAAAAAAACAATTTACATAAGAACTGCAATTCATATGTTCTAAATCGAATTCACAAATACTAAAAATCTATTTTTCTAATAAGACTGGAACAAAAAAACACAGAACTCAATTGTAAAACCAGTACAGCACACAGAGAGCAGACAGCTCACACATAGCCTACAAACATTGTGTTGCAATGCTAGCTCATCTTTAGAAAAGGAAATCATCTGCGCATGCATTAGACTTGATTATATAGTTTGGAAGACAAATGTGTGAATACTGCGAATTCCATCACCAAGAGACTGACATTAACTGAGCATATTAACAAATGAAGGCAGCTGAGCAACATGTTGCAGCACTTTAGTCAAACTAGTGGGGCAAAGAAAAGAGCTCGTCTCTATAGACCTGTGCTTGTTTTGAATCACACTGGCTTTCTTTGGTAGTAAAACACCGCAACAGAGACGCTGTGCTCCACTGCAGCAAATGTAATGTTAACAACAAAACAACCAAGCGCTCTGCTTTGTTTCCCCCCTTCCCCTTTACAACAACACACAGCTACCAAAAACCAATAGTGGAAGAAGTACTAGGATTGTTTACCAAAGTAAAAGTAGCTGTACTACAGTGTAAAAATGTTCAAAGCCCTGCATTCAAACTATTACTTATGTAGAAGCACAAAAGTATTAGCATCAAAATACAACATTATTGGAATGCAATATAACATTGATGCATTATTGTGTTCATATTGTGTTCAGCAGCTCAGTGGGCAATGGACAAGGATCTATAAGGATTTATTTATATTCTTTTTTTTAATTGAGTCAAATCATTTTGAATCAAAAATCATTCTGAATTGAATCACACCAAGAATCAGAATCAAGTTAAACTGAGTTTGCCTATTGTGAGAGCTTTTTTTTAAAGCCTATTTTAGTCAACAATATTATCAAAACATGTATTTTATTAAACATTTTAAATTTAATAACCAGTGACAGACATTTGTAGTGACGGCTGTCTGATTCTGATCAGTGAGTTTACAGGGAGGGTATGAATAAATTAGTCTTTTTAAAATAATTTTTCAAATATGCACCTCACAGAAACAAAATCAATATTAATTTTAGAAATTCTACATCAGCTCAGCTGCAATACTTGTGGCAGAGCTGGCAGAATGAGGTCACATTTCCATACACACAAATGTTGTCCCTGAGCACAGAGGCTGAGGCCATACAAAGAGAATGGCTGCGGAGGCGGAATTATTAGCTTCTGTGACTGACAGGTTTTAACATGCTTGCTAAACTTCTACCAACAAAAACAAAGCCACTGTTAATAATGCCAGTTAACGACGGTCCTGTTGGCTCTCACATCTTTCATAGACTGCAGTCAATCTTTTTTATTGAGCTTTGGTCTGTAAGAATTATAGCGGTGAGCTGCGTCATCTCATAAAAAAGCTTTTCAGTGATATTAAATTGTGTATTTGACTCTCCACTTGATTACAACAAAGCCTCTCTCTTTTATATCTGAAAATAATAGAACTGTTGTTTGTTGCTACACTTTTGCTCTCCATTCTTCACTAAGATTGCATAGACATATCCGTAGGCCTGGTATTATGCCACTTACACTGAGAATACTGTATGTGGTCAGTGTATTCAGGTAATGCCAAGTTACAATTTAAAATGTTTGCAAAGTTGTGAACATAGACATATACAGTCTTCTT